TACAGTCCTTTACAAACTAAGGTTACTTGCATTTCAGTGAAGACTTTAAACTACTATGAGGCTGGCTGAACAATACTGCAAATGTTAAACTGATATTTTCCAGGTTCATTGCCTTACAAAGGAACAGAAGTATCATTTTGACACTGATAGCAGTGATGATAGGGCATTTCTTTAAACCCAGGCCTTTGGTGTTGATTTAACATCCCATTTTGATGGTAACCATCACTTTTTTTAATTTAACTTTTGATCATATAACTTTTTAAGTTATAAATGGCTTCTAAGAAGATTACACATTACACCGAACTTGTATGACATGCTGTGTGTTAGTGGTTTCCTAATTAAATAATAATTATCAACTGCAATACTGCTTGTTATAGTTGTACACTGCAGATGCCTCTTCAATGGGGACCAAATAAATCTGTAGCTAAATAAAGCAAAGAAATAAATTAATAGTGGAGACACTGCTGCAAGAATTAAAGTTTTAACCTAGACGAATAGTGGAAATAATGAGTCATGTTCTAGCAACCATTATTTTGTACAGTTAATGAACGGGTTTGCCAGAAGTAGTATAAACATTGTTCTGAAAGAAAATCCACATCACTTTATACTGCAGAAATTGTTCCATGACTTTTCTTCACAGCAATGTTTCTGCATGTGAGAGTTCGTCCCTATTATTACATGTGTGTCTTTGAGATGGAAACCTTGGGCCACATGCTGAACTGGCATAAACCAGCATAACCCCATTGACTTCAGTGGGGCGGTACTGATTTATCACTGCTCAGGATCTAGCCCATAAAATCATGACTAAAAATACTAGCTGCATTGGGCCTGATTCTGATCCCACAGTAGTGGAGTTACTCCTGATTTACACTGGCGTAGAGAGAGGAGCATCAGGCCTACCACCCAGGCTACCACTGTTTCTCCTTCCTGTCCCTTCACTCCTGAAGAAAATCCAGGAATAGAGGGATTCAGGTGCCTTAAAGTTCTCAAGAGCTTTTCCTGAAAATTGGAATTTTCATTTACAGTTTGACCCAACTCCCATAGAAGTCAATGGGATTCTTTCCTCTGATTTTAGTGAGACTTGCTCAATGTCATTACATTACTGTCTTCCATAAAACAACTAGGCTAAAATATCGCTGCTGTCAAAATGTAGGGATGGAAAACTGGGGACACTGTGGCAATTTCGACACCGTGAAAGGACTCCCTTTTCCCCATCTCCACACAGCAAAAAACAAACAAACAAAACAAAGCTCTCTTGCAGCAATCAGTGTGTTTGGATAAATGTTCATGCTCTCCCCCACCTCCAACTTGCTCCCATTAAAATTCAATTGAAAGTTTCACTGGAAGCAGGATCAGGCCCTCAGTCCTGCTTGCGTGAACTGATCTGTCCTAGCTATCCTTGGGATTTCTCATTTCACTGTAATGTGAGCTTTCCTGTGGAGACATCTCTTTCTGTCGAAGTGTTCTCTGCAATATTGTTGGCACTGTGACGTTTTTCCTTTACTCTGTGTGACTTGTCTGTTTTTTATTCTTCTCTTCTGTGCATGGCATCCATGTATTTACAAAACATTGTGTGAAGCTGCTTTCTTCACTCCGGAAGCAGCCACCATCCCTAAGTTTTGAATTCTGCCTCTGCTTTTATTTTCGTGAAGAGTTACCTACTCTTTGTCTTTCTTCCCTCAGGCACTTCCTGTTCAAACCTGGAGGCACCTCTCCCCTCTTTTGTACAACATCACCGGGATATCCCCTGACGTCCAGCACTGTGTACTCACCTCCCCCTAGACCCCTTCCCAGAAGTACCTTCTCTAGGCCTGCCTTTAATCTGAAGAAACCCTATAAGTACTGTAACTGGAAATGTGCTGCTCTGAGTGCCATTATCATCTCAGTCACGCTGGTGATCCTGCTTGCTTATTTTATCGGTAAGCATATTCCACTTTTCAGCCTTTTTATTCTCTACCCTCAGTGCCAGTGTTGCTAACATTTGGGAACTGCAAGACCAAGTTGGTTACACCCATAGTAACTAACAAGTAAGGCCTCTTGGGGCTTGCCTAGATGGAGAGTTAGTGTGTGGCAAGCTGAGGTGTAAATCTACAACACACTAGTCTGCCGTGTGCTAACTGGCTGCATGGACCATGCAACTGCGCACTAAAAGTTCTCTAGTGTGCTTTGACATATTCCAGTCTCAAAAAGCAGCAAGTCAGTGTGCACTAGGGAACTTTTAATGTGCAGGTACTGGGTCCACATGGATCTTTAGTGCGCAGCAGGCTGGTGCACTGTGGATTTACACGCCAGCTCGCTGTGCACTAACTCTCTCTCTGACAAGCCCTGAAACCTGTGTAAGCCCATTGAATTTGGTGGGTGTTGCAATGTGGGGCTCACTTCATTTAATAGTACCACCAAGGTTTAATAGAACCTGTTCCATATGCTGTATGTAAAGAGTTTGAATTGTTCCTTTTCTGCTCGAGAAAGAGTTGGAATCAGCTAGAATGAGACAAGCCCTCCTACAATAAACCATAGTAGCGAGACTGGGGTCCCGACTGTGCTCCCATCAAAGTCAGTGGGAGCCAAGTCAGACTCCAAATCCTGAAATGTTGGCTCTGTTCTTATTCTGGCAAAATCTCCACTTGGCTTGGAGCTAAGGGCACGTCTTCACTACCCGCCGGATCGGCGGGTAGCAATCGATCTATTGGGGATCGACTTATCGCGATAAAATCAATCCCTGATCGCTCTGCCGTCGACTCCGGAAATCCACCGCAGCAAGAGGCGGCAGCGGAGTCGACGGCGGCGCGGCAGCGATCGACTTGCCGCCGTCCTCACAGCCAGGTAAGTCGACCTCAAATACGCAACTTCAGCTACGCTATTCACGTAGCTGAAGTTGCGTATCTTAGGTCGACCCCCCCCGCTGTAGTGTAGACCTAGCCTAAATGTTGCTTGTCTTACACGAGTAATTTTATTGAAATTAATGGAACTACTTGCATGAATAAGGGGAACAGTCTAGGAGTTTTCGTAGACTGAGGAAGTAGTTCAGGGGCTTTCGCTCAACATTTTGAGGGTTAGTGGAATAAATTAACTTTGAAATACAGAAGATCTGGAAAATTTGCTGTCCTGTTGCAGCTGTGCAACGACATTTTTGTTTGAGTTTTGTCTGCAATTGGTTTCCTGGATTTCTAAGGTTTCCAGTGCTTATTGCAAGGAGCAACTGAACTAGTAAGGTGAGAATAGTATTCCTCAACTTCTAAGGTCTAGGTATTACCTTTCATTTCTCTTCCTTCTTTGCTGATAAACCTGGTATTAGTTTATATAGGTTCTCTGCTAGACTCCTCTTTTAAAATGGCAATGATGCAAACTGTTGTGTAGCCACAGGTGAAAGAGCCTGTTCTGTGTGGCATAAACAAGCTGTTTCTTTGATTTCACTGTAACTTCCTGTAGGCTAAAGATCTGTAAAATGTTGCGATAAAAACTAGGAAATCGTTACCTGGATTGCAAGTTTTTTCGCTTTCATTTCATATGTGTATAATTATTCCTACAGTTACCACCAATGATCAGTTTCACCATGTTCCCTTTATGTGTGCTGCTCTAATGACTGAATCTTTTCCACTGCTGACTCATATTATACTTCGGTCACTTTTGTGCTTGCTCTAATAGGAGCAGAAATGATTAATTAACCAGCATTAAATCAGTAACAGTTTGATGGAATGTACAGTCAGTTTTATCATTTGCTACTTACGTTTGAGCCTGTCTGTCTCATTTATCTAGCATTTTCCTTATGCACTGAACAGGGTTCCATTGGATATTGTCTCTCTGTGTCAGAGGTATCTCTTCATAGCTCACTTAAAACGTTGGTGTCCATTAATTATGACTGTGGATGTATATACACTTTGCTGTGTTACAGACAGGTCTGGAAGGCTGACTTGCCCCTTAATGGTCTCCTGTTCAGAAACCTTTTCCAGCAGTTTTGAAGTCCTGATTTAATTCATAGTTAATATGGTTAAAAATTATGTCCATGGGTTATGCTTAGGTCCTTTTTTCCCCATTTGAATGAATCCTGTGGCATCTGCCAAGCACTGTGTGTTGCTGGCAAGGTGCCAGGAATGCTGATCAGGTTGAACTGTTGTAATTATGGGTCGTTATTGCTAATTTCTAAAGGAACTATCAATTATTAAAAATAAAATTCATCGGTTCAGTACAGCATAAACATATTTAACAAAGAGTATCACTGCCAAGCCCAATGATTTAATCAGCAGGCAAAAAAGCAGTTATTTAATTAGATTTTGATGAAAAATTGTGTTTAATTTCAAGTATAATCAATTATTAATTACTGTAATGAGAGACTCTGACTGGGTTTACTAATTAACTCATATAAAAATTATGAATAACCTTTTCATTTGTAATTATTTTTTACATCCTGTCAAGTTGCAGATAAGAATTGTATCACCTCCCCCAAAAAATTTACTTTGATCAACTTCTGACAAGATGGGTTGTATCCTGATCAAAATTATGACGTTTTTAATAACAATGCATTTTTTAATTTTCTGGTCTGTTTACAAAATAAGTGCTTATTTATTGTTAGATCACTGATATTTATGTACTTCTGTATTTGTTTGTCAGAGAATCCAGATATCCTTACTCATGTTGAGTAGTATGTCACTCGTATTGATTTCCCTGAGACTGTTTGAATTGTTAAGGTATTGTTGAACATGAGTAAGAGTGGCAAAATATAGCCCTGATTATGTCTAGTGAATGTTGATAACTTGGCGAGTTGCCACTGGCTCTTGCTAGTTAAAGTAATTATGGAAATTCTCTTTTATTACCATTGGCCCAATCCAAAAGAAGTTGAAGTCAATGGAAAGACTCCCATTAAAGTGAGCTAGCTTTGGATCAGGGCCCCTGGCAGTGATTTGGAGTTTAATTCTCTTTCATCCAACCATACTAATGCTCCAGTCCACTGGGGAAGGTAGTGCACCAGAATGCCATTCACAGCACAGCCCTCCATTCAAATGAAAACAAAAACAAAAAAACTACCTCGAGCAGAGTTTTCTTAACCTGAAATGAGCCAGAGACTTCATGAACTCCACTGGGGACTTGGCTATTGCCAATATGTTTTATGTGACGGGTGCTCAGATACAAAACAGACACACACAGAGATATTAGAGAGATGAGGTGGGTGAGATAATATCTTTAATTGGCCCACCTTTTGTTGGTGAAAGAGACAAGCTTTCAGGCTTACACAGAGCTCTTGCTTAGGTCTGGGATGGATGGACGGATACATCGATCAGCATGAAAACAAAGAGCCATTTGGACCTTTTTGAAACTCTTTGCAGGAGACAGTTGCATTTTTTTAAAACACATCTGCAGCATCCACTATGTCATCTATTTAAGACTGAAAAGCCATAGACTAGCAGGTATATTTCCATTTTACCAAAGAGTTTGTGCTCTTTAATAGTCTGTGGCTTATTTATCTTGCTGTTCTTTCATTTCAAAGATCTGTGGGTGGGGGGGAAAGAAGCAAGAAAGAAAGAAACAATTGGGAAAGAAGCAAGAGTCCATATAAACTTAATGACTGGCAGCATGTGTAAACATTGTGCTCTAGCTGAAGCTTTTGCAGGATTGAATCACTGGTCTTGAGAGATAATAGCAAACAAAATAGAAAAAAGCCTATTAAGCATCAGAGGCTATTTTTCATTGGAATTAACCAGCTTTAAATTCACTTTCTGCTATCTTTTCAAATATTCATTGAGACTACACTAAGTCAATTGCAACAATGCACACCAATAGCAGAGCACTGCATGCACTGACAGCTAATGCAAAGGGAGAGCCTTATATCCAAATCCTGAAGACACTTCACAGGCTGGTCTTGTAAGGTGCATACGCCAAAGAGAAAACTGTATTAGGTCAAGGCTGCAACCTAAAAACTGCAAGGGCAGTGAAATCAGAGCCACTGAAAGGAAAGACGACTTTAGGCAGCCTGTAACTAATCTGCAAATTTGCTGTTCCTGGAGGTCATGGAAACACATGTTGTGGCTGTAATTTTAACAGAAATTGTTCATTTGGGGACTGTTTGTACTATTTTCAATTATACAAGGTACGGCAGTAACAAGGATGAACAAATCCTGTGCTCCAGAGTATTAAACTGTGTAGCTGGTTGGGGGAGTCAGGAAGGAATTTTTTCTCCCATGTACAAAACGGCACAAGTGGCAAACTCCAAATCCTGCCTCCTTTTCTGCAGGTGTGGAGGGCGTTGCTTGCACTGGAACGAGTCTGGTTCCACTGTGCAGTAACTGAATAGAATTTGAGGATCCCGCATGCCCCTGCCCGCCCCTCTTCCAAGGCCCCGCCTCTGCTCACTCCATCCCCACTCCCTCTGTTGTTCGCTCTCTCCACCCTCACCCACTTTCAGCGAGCTAGGGCAGGGGATTAGGGTGTGGGAGAGGGTGAGGGTTCCAGCTGGGGTGTGGGCTCCAGGATGGGGCCAGACATGAGGGGTTCAGGGTGTGGGAGGTCGTTCCGGGCTGGGGCAGGGGGTTGGGGTGTGTGAGGATCTGAGGGCTCCGGCTGGAGATGTGGGCTCTGGGGTGTGGCTGGGGATGAGTGGTTTGGGGTGCAGGAGGGAGCTCAGGGCTGGGGCACAGGGTTGGGGTGTGGAAGAGGATGAGGGCTCCATTTGGGGGGTGCTGGCTCGGGGGTGGGGCTGGGGAATGAGAGGGTCGGGGTTGCAGGAAGGGGCTCCAGGCTGGGGCTAAGGGGTTCCTGGCTAATGGGAGCAGCAGAGTCAGCGCTCGAGGTGGGAGCAGTGCGTGGAGACCTCCTTGCCACCCCTGCACCTAGGAGCCAGACATGCCATCTGCTTCCGGGAGCTGCCCGGAGCCAGGGCCGGTAGAGAGCCTGCCTTAGCCCTGCTGCGCCACCCACCGGGCTTTTA